AGACATGGGGTTGTTGTTGTTGGCGGTGGTGGGCTGTAGGTCTTCAAAGTCTAGGGTGTGTGGTCTGCCGTCGAGGGTGATGGAGGTGTCGCTGTCGATGGACACGCGCACGAGGTCCTCGCTGAGCGGGGTGTGTCCCGGTGTCGGGGGCTGGCTGCCGGCGCCGCCCGAGGCCATGAGGAGGCCTAGGGGTTGCGTCGTCGGCGGGAGGTTGAGCTTGGTGGCCACGACTTCGAAGAGGCGCGCCACGCGGGCGCGGGTGTCTTTGAAGAACTCGGCGCGGACGGAGCCGGAGCTGTGGTGGAAGTGGAGGCGGGTGCTCTCGCCGCCGATTTCGAGGACCAGCTCCGCCGCGCGGTCGTCGACGTAGGGGCGGGCGTAGTTTACCCAGCCGGAGAGGTGGTCGGCGGGGGAAGCCGAGACGTCTGCGGCGACGCTGATGCCGCTTTTTAGTATGTCTTCGAGGCGTAGGAGGATTTCCTCGCGCCGGCGGCTCTGGTTATGGCTGATGTGGTGGGGGATGAGTTTTTGCTCCAGGCCTTTGAAATTGAAGTAGCGGCAGTCTCGTAGTAGCTCGGCGCGGTGCGACTCGTTACGGATCGTTACGGGGTATCCACGTAGCAGGTGTAGGATCTCGGCAAAGGTATCGGCAGAGCGGTTCGGGACGGACGGCGGTAGGATGGAGGGCGGGCGGAGGAGGCCTTCGCGGTCAAGGCCGGGGAACAGGTCTTCGGGGTTCGAGAAGAAGACTGCGAAGCCGAGGGAGAAGAAGTTTGGCGAATTGCCTGGGTCGGTGAAGATATCGCGGGGGATCTGAAACTCGCGGTGGCCGATGGAGATGAATATTGACTCCTCATAGAGCTGTGATATCAACTTGGGCACTGCCAGAGCTGTGTTAGTCGTAAACGCCGAGGACTTGAATCAAGCAAGCACGCACAGCTATAGAATTGGGCGTCGGCAAAAAGTCGCACAAAGTGCGTGCCGTCTCGGGGTTTAACATGATAGCCTTGGAGGTGGAGGGAGATGTCGGCAAAGGTCTGGGGATCGCGGTCGATGTACAAGGTGCGGATGGCATTGGAGAGATCCTCGCCGGTTTCTTGTGCCTTTTTGACCTGGCAGTAAAAGTACTGAGAGAAGTACGACGGCGCTGAAGACAGAGACGGAGGATCAGCATGGTGTTTTGTCTTGGGCGCCTGGCGCGGATCGCGGTGGATCGCGGCGCAACGCCGGACGGCGAGTTCGCATTACACAAAGACGGGACTGAGAGAAGTGGGCATGGCAGGGATTCAGGAACGTACCATCGGATGAAATGGATGCGCCGGATAGCTTAAACAGCTCATTGCCTATCTGTATGGGAAAGACGCGCTCGTGAGGGAGGAAGTGAGGAATCTTGGCGACCTGAGCCTCATCGTGAGGTGGCGCTGGGCTCTTTGATGGGTGTTGGGATCTCGCGCTGGTGTTGTTGGCAATGGACATGTCGGCGGCAGCTGATCGACGCTGAGGTTGAGAATCGGATTGCGCTTGTTGAACCATGGCGCCGCCGTGTTGTCTGATCGTATCCAAGATTCGCGACTCGGACGGCAACTCGGCTCGATGTGCCGAGATGGAGAGGTTGTGTGAATGCAGGTGGCGTGACTGGCAGAGTTGAAATTGGTTTACTTAGAAGCAAAGCTTGCGAAGAGCCTTGTCTCCTTGCGCCGCGGTGTCAAAGCACGAACCATGGGCATTGACATCAGATGGCAACGACAACGACGATGAAGATGATGATGACGACGACAGCGGCGACGACGACGACAACATGACCCAAAGTACGTTTGACTAGAGCACTTGATGATTGCGCGCGAATGAGCGAGCAAACGAGGGGCTGGGAGCTTGAAGACGAGGGGCCTTGGATTGGTGGTGAGGTGGTTGAGGTTGTTCCGCGAAACGGAAATCTACGCGAAAGTAACCCTCCCCTAGAAGGAGAAAAGTAAGGTATGGATACAGCTCTACGATTTGTCCATTACCGCTCGAGAGACCGGGGGGAGGCCTGTAGATTGTAGTTCAAACGGCGCGAGGCCGGGGTTCGAGCAGACGACGAGCTTAAGGTCTTGAGATAAGGTAACGTCGGAAGGGACGGAGACTGGAAGAGATAGTGTGTATTGTCTTTCCAAGGTAAGGTAAGGTAGGGATGAGTCTAATCTTGTTGTGTATGCGAGCGGCACAGTAAGCGCAGAACTGCTAAAGGTGTTGGATCCGTACGGCTACCTTACTACCCCGTTATGGAGGATGAATTGACGCGGAACGGTCAGGTTCCATCTGGGAGGGGGCTGGAAGCCTGGAACTTGGAGGTGCAGGCAGAAACTTGGGGGGTAGAATGGAAGGGACCGGGAATGTCAAAATGCCCTGGTACCAACTGGCCAAAATTCGTCGGCGGGAATACTTTCCCATCATGTCGTTCGTTGCCTGGAATTAACCGACGGAGGTTGGGTGTCTGATCTGTGTGGAAGCTTACCTTATTCCCGGCGCTTGTCCAATCAGACTGTAGGTCGTACCACTAAGACACTTGAGTGCGGTGGCTTCGAGTGCGCTAAAACCGGCTCGATGCTCTGTCAGCGCCAGACGTTCGGGGCTCCCGTGGCGCTAACCTCACTGTAGACACCTCAAAGTGCTAAGCGAGAACGCCAGTCTCACTTGGGATCTAGGCGAGCTGCTCCTTGCTTTCCCGGTGGAAGGTGCTTGTTTTCTTTCTTTCCCATCTCAGTTCTGTGCCTCTGCAGCAAGTGCGCACTGCGGCTTGCAACTGCCTGCCTTGTGCGACGGAATTGTCTCCGGCCGGCCCCTGCCCGAGGTGAATGAGGTGGACCACTTTCCAAATGGAAGGTCCAAGTCGTTCTGTACCTTCCCACAGCATCGGCAGAGAGGCTCCCCGAATTCCAATGGCTTCCCTCAATTTCCTCCATGTTCGTACTATTCGTACGAATAATTACTCCGCAAGGAACCTTACCTTAGTTACGGAGACAACACTTTGCCCACTCGGAAATGACACTGAATCCCCTTCATCGAGATCCACACGTCATTGCCATCGTTCCACTCTCTTGCGGCTTTCTATGTCAAACGTACTGGACCTAGCATCACCAAAAGCAATTATACAAGACACTCGCCTCGACTCGACCTACTCCGTACCACTACAATTGCGGCTTGCCTGTCTCGACTGGCGACCTCGCCAAGATGCCCTCCGCTGCAAGGGACCCCTTCAAGTTCCAGAACAATTCTCCAGATTACCCTGCCAATCAGCTCAATGAGCACTCGAGCTCCTGCAGACTGTCAATTACTTCCCTAGTTTGTCAACCTGATACATGCAGCCTCAACGGGCGTCGGTAGCAAGCACCCAGCACGCTGCCCACCAGCCTGCTTTGCTGCCCTTCATTGTGTCCAGCCCACAGAGTACAGATACGCATACGCATACACAGTACTCGGAATTCGAGCCTCGAGACTCGAGAGACGTCGTCAGCTGCAAGCCCAAGCATGCTGGTCCGAGTATCAGCTTCGCGGCTTCGCCGTTGCTTCTTACAATGCTACCGTCACTTCTGCCTCCGAATCCTCGTCCGATGTCTTCGAGATCCCGCTCCCACCAACCACATCGCATCTGCTCTTACTTCAGACATGACCTACAGACATCCAAGCCAGGTCTTCCTCGATTTCGGCAAGCCTGAGCCGAGGCTGACAACCTCGCCACATCGTGAAGCTTTGCGTCAAAAAGGCCAGCACCGCGGGAACCAAACCTTCTGTCACCAAACTCGACTGATGATCTGCTGTCCCGTCCGGGGGTCTGTTGGTCGATCGTCATTCGGCGAGCTCTAACTCACCTTACCTCACCACAGTATGGAGTACCTACATCGTAGTTCTCGGTCTTCCAATCCCGAACTCTTCTCTTCCGTTGTGTCTGTTGTTGCGCCGCAACACGCAATGCCTTCCTCTCGCCCGCTCAAACCGTTCGCTCGTCCCTTCGCACAGTTTGACATGGGGAACTGACTGAAAGGTACGTACCACATTTGTTGCACCGACACGAAGCTGTTCGCGGCAATTGTCGTATGAGGGATGCTTTATTCCGTTCTTTGACGTTGACGGAACCTACTGCACGCCCATCCATGATCTCAGATGCTCTATTCCGGCTTTCACTTCGCCTCGTTCCGCTGCCAACACATACATACGGAGTACGACCTGCATAATAGCTGCAGCAGCTCCAATAAAGCCTGTTCGGCCGAGTTGCGGGTCGAATCCTCTGCTCACTCACACTGGCAGTCTGGCACTGCTTAGACGCCCGCAAAGTCAGGGCCGCGCTGCGATCGTTCCAAAGCTTGCCCATTGGCCCAGAGCCGGATCCTGGAATTACATCCCCTCCCCAACGCGTTTCGAACTAGCACTGCACAAATACAATATACGAACCCGATGCCGGAACCGAACTTGCGGCACACCCAAGGTTCGAGATTTGACGGTCCATTCGTCGACTTGCAACACCGTTTGTTGGATTCGTCGGCTGTCTCGGTGCGCGCCAGTGCACCACGCCCTCCCGAGTCCCTCCTAGGACCCTAGGAGAGTTGCTCGGAGCCGACTTGCGAGCTTCCCACCACAACGGACCGCATCTGGACCCCACCAACACTGAATCTGAGGGGGCTTTCGTGGGGACTTACTTTATTACGACCCGATATGTCGTGCTGGCCAGTTTCAAGGCCTTGCTGTTTTCGAGGTATTACCTCGTGCAGCACAAGGATGCCCCTTCGTCAACGGCACGCGTCCCTTGAAGCCGGCTGGCCTAACTGGTGGTGCTGGAGAGATAACACCGAACGAGGTCTGGCCAAGATCTTGGAAGCCGTGTTCCTTGTCCCGCTTTGCAGGAAAAAGCAGCTCTGGCCGATCCGGCAGCGACAAAATTGTCTCAGGCTCTCAGCAGCGCGGTCGAGACTCCTATTTCCTACTCATCACTAACCCGTAACTTTGGCATCCATTGGTGGCCATTGATGCCACCGAAATCAGACGCGCTTTGGAAGGCTCGGGGAAATATCGATTGCCAGAGACCAGATGGGGCCCTTCACACAATCCCACGATCTGTCTTAACAAAGGTCAGCTAATGTACGGAGCCGACCTACCTTATTTTTCCTCGGGAACAGCCAGACGGTCATGGAACCCCGTCCGTCCACAGAATCAACCAAATAGGTACCCATCCCACCGGCGGACAATAGCCGCTGAAACGAAATGAATCGTCTTGGTGCTCTAGGCGGTGCCGGATAGTCGGACTAGATGCTCGCAGTGGCCAGCGCTCTCTAGAGACAGAAACAGTTGAGGCCGAAATTAGCATACTGACTTTGCCTGCATGCACAGCCTTTATCGCGGGGCAAATCTGGAGCCCGAAGAAGCGCGAGAATTCGTCGCAAAAGCTCTCGGCGGATAAAAGGGAAGAATGGATGTGGACCTTGGATTGATCGTCGCAGAGTATGGGACGAGAGATGGAACATGCCGTCCAAACCGTATTATAGTCTCTTGCAACCATACGCTCCCTGGAACCTGCGATGGGCACCCTGCGACCTACCTCTCTCAGAGGCTCAGGGGCTTGTCACGCGTGGGATGTGGCTATTGTTCTTCCCGTCTTTACCAAGTATCAATCAACCAACAAGACCGGCTTTTCATATGGTACACGCTCACGCTCCGGTGAGTTATGTCGAAAGTGAAGGGAAGGGATCGATCAAACTTTCCCATCCACCCCACCTGGGCAGCAACTGAATCCGAACGATGAATCTGTCTGGAACAAGGACGTCTCTCTACGGGCACGCCCTAGGGGTGAGACAGCCTGCCGAAGAAGATGATTGGGGGCCAGGGCAAGATTAGAGATCGACGAATGAAGCAAAGGAATATGGATGAAGGGAGGCTTGGCTTGGCTGGTTGTTGGAAGGGCAGAAAGCCAGAAAGCCATGAAGCCCAGCGCTAGGCGAGAGCAAGAAGTACGTAGGACGACCCGGCACAAGGCCTGAGCCTGAGGCGCTCGCAAGATATCCAGGGAAGGGTTTAGTGACTGAACGTGCGATGCAGCAAGGCGACAACTAGCTCGCCCGTTGCTCACATTGAGTTGCTTAGGTGAGGATCATGTCACAGTCCGAGATGCGTTGGCACCAAGGTTGGACCTGTCAATGGTCTGTGAGAGAGACTTTGCCTACTCTCAGACGGGGTGGGAAAGTGGACGTATCCGTACTTTATTTCCTCTCAGGCCCGGCGCCGTCACACGTAACGGGAATGCGGTGGGCGAGGAGGAGACTTCGGACCACACTCCGCGCCCAAAGTGATCAGCGCGACCACCACCACCACGAGACGTATGACGCTTATGACATCTAATCGTCCGGAATCACAAGACATGCCTGAAGGATCCGGACAGACTAGGCAGGCTCCGAGATTTGGACAGGCACTGGCAACGATCGGATAACAGATGCCGCGAAGCGCATGCTGTATGAGTACAGATTGCCGTATCGCGCATTTCGCGGCGCGCGCGCACGCGGTAGGCGCGGATTCTTACTTTACCACAACGACACCAAAACCAAAAACACCATTCGCCTCAACCGCCACCGCGGCGCCCCAAACACAATCGCGCAAGCGGTACGGATAGTTCCCGGCCGGACGGTTCAGCCGAGGAATTGTTGGTTTTCAGCCGGACGTCGTTGTGCTGAGCATCACTCCTCGAGTCTAGGAGGTAGTTGAAGCTCGAAGGCTGAAGCTCCTCTCAGGGGTTACCGATCATCAGTGACGGCTTCTCGCTGCTTATTCGTGTACATACTCTTACTCCGTACGGACACACCAGGACGGCAATCATTTCTTATTAACGGACGTCAACGATTTATGTCGCATGCCCCTCGGCCCCATTATGCTCCTGCAATAGATCAAGGTGGTCAACACGAAGTTTTTCCAGGCCCGGGAAATGAAGATACTCTAGGCGTGGCTTTCACTGGCTGCGCATCTCCCGACCTTGACAGGCTCCTGCTCAGTTACCTCGAATCGGCTTCCACAACTGGCCTTACAGATGGGGTACCTTACCACCTTACCTCATGTTTGTTGGGGAAATCTTTGACAGGCACTATGCAACTGGCCCACCGCAAGCCATGCCATATCCACTCCTTCCACTTCATCTTGGCCTTCCATCCTCCAACCCTGGAAGACGATTTGCAGTCTTGCGATGGCTCGGCCGGCTTTCTGCACAATCACATTCGGACGGCGGGGACAGCTCGTGCTAGAGGAAGCTTGAGTGGATCAAACGGGCCAGGGGAATTCCAGGCTTAGGTCCAGTCGAGGCCGCTTAGTGACACCCGCTGAGCCCCAGAAACTGTGGGTTGTCTCTGAGTTTCTGGAGACAAGTCCGCTATAGACATGCCGTGTATTTTTGGAAGTGTCTCTGGCCGGGAACGCTTGAAGCCGTTCGTTCCTCCAAGCCAAGCAATGAAGGTAGGGCAGGGTCAGCTACCTGGCCCTCACGTCTCCTTTACACTTCACGTTGGGGATTTGGGGTGCCTCGAGTTTGGACTATTGCCTTTGGATGCCTATCCGCCACAAGATAATAACGTGTATCTGTGCGTGACTAGCTTGCTTGGTGCTTCATCATGACCGGCCAGCCTGGCCGCGGGTGGTGGTGTGCTGCTGACGGATCTATGTAGGTACTAGGTATTCGCACAGCTAGCTGCCCAAGCAAGCTACCGACGGCACTTACTATGTATTGTCGTCCATCTTATTCGGTTGTTGACTACTTGTGGGATGTATTCGGGATCTTGGACAAGGTTCACGTAGCTCCGTCACTGGTTCCCTCATCGCACATTAACTCTACAAGCCCAACAGCACGACATACACACATGCCTAGACACATAGACTAGACACACAACACACACACACACACACACACACACACACACATACGTTATCCAGGGCACGGAGACTGTTAGACAGTTGGGCTCTTCCGCCTGCCCGCCAGCCCTTCCTTGCGCTCACGCACGCACTCACTAGAATTAACGCCCGAAGGCAGCAACGTCAAGACATCAAGATTCCCGACGCAAAAGCAATGAACAAATTTTCCGGACTCCACCTCAGCGCTAATTCGTAAGCGAGGACGGTCGAAGTCCCGTTCGGCTCAGGCTTCGAAGGAAACGGACAAGAAACAGAGCCTTTCTCCATTATCCATGCCGATCAGGGCACAGGCGATGGCAACCTTGCAGGTCGTTGCATGTCTGCATTGCACGCTAGAACCAGAGACACCCGCTTACGCCAGGGTTGCTAAGAAGCGTATCCTCAACAACGTACCGTGCCCGTTGACCCGTTCGTTCCCTGTTCAGAGCAGCCAACTCTGTCTCTCGACTCGACCAAGAAGAACAAGAGGCGACGGGATCTTATGGAGCTGCCCGTCTACCGCCCATTTTTACTGTATGACTATGCAGCAACAATTTCCAGGCTTCCTCATGCCCAGCTACAGATTTTCAGCAATGTGGCAAGGGGTCCCCGGTACGCCGATCCATCGTCCAGCTTCGTTCTAGGCCCAGCGATGCCCCTCAGCCCGGCGACATGTCTCTAGCGGCCTGGCGCATGGCCGGGGTTTTTGACCAGTGGCAGTCTGCTGCTAGTGCTCCGTCTCAGCTGCCGTTTTTCTGCTCTCGAATGTCTTTTTTTCTGCCCAGAGTCTCGATGACCGCTGCATCGGCGTCCCACTTACTGGGGAGTCGGGACGGTGGTACCTTTCCGTGCCTCTCTCAAAGACTCGATCCTCCATCTATCCGTAGGCAATTACACTACCTACCGGTATGTCTGATCCTGAGCTTCAGGCTGCTCGTCCATGTCTGTCTGTGCCTTGACTCTTGAGGCAGGGGCTCGGGACGCCTGCTTTACACTGCTTGGCGACCAGACTGCGGCCAACACACTCCGTCCATAGTCTCTAAAGGCGCTTGCGATTGGAGAGACAGACCGGCGGCTCTTGGGTGTATCTCTCGGCTATCGAACGCCCTCTGTTCATCGGCATCCCACCGCGGTTTCTCTTTGTTAATTTCGCCTTGTTTGGGCCGTTTATCGGACAGCATCTCAGCTACGGATACGCCTACGAGGCGGCGAAGAGGTACCTACTTACAGTAAAGACGACGACTTGGAGGTTGGAGAGACTTTGAAGTCTCGACTAGAAGAAAGGGCTTAGGGCCTAGAGCATGGCTGTGTCTCTCTCTCTGTCTCCCAGTCTACCCCACCACAGCTGCAGCAACAGCAGCAGCCAGCTACTCCATCCGTCACGGAACGGATACAAGCAAGTCTTCTTCACCTTAGCCCACCCCCCCCCCCCCTTTCTTCGATACCAGCACCCTACACGAATACCGGGTTACCTGCGTTCGCCGTACTTCTATGCCTCTCAACCTGAGGAGAATCGCATGCCGGCGTATCCTCACCCTACCCTACCTGGACCCGACCTCCCACCTCCAATCTCTCCAATTGAATGGCCTGGAACGACGGCCGTGGAAGGGGGTTGGATCACCAAATCATCACTAAACACACCACCACGACCGTCTTTCGACTGGCCTAGGTACCTTACTCAACCTTCCAAACTTCCCGTCCCGTCCACCACGAACCAGCCCAGACCAGGCCAGGCCTGACAAGGGCACTGTGTCCCTGCACGTTCGACACCTTTTTCTCTCTTTGGGGATCCTGTACATCTCACACCTCGACCTTGACCTCGATTTTGACACGCTCAACTCACCTCAACCCCCCGGCATCTGTCCTCGACTGCGCTTCTCTTTGAGGAGAACGAGAAGCGGCAGCAGCCGCAGTAAGAGAACCAACATATCGTTGCTCCCAGGTACTCATCCTCTGGGAGGGGCAGGCAAAGTAAATCGTCAACAACCAGCCCCGTCTCGAGCTTCTCCCGGGATTCGACGGTCAGGAACGACAGAGCAGGTTCTTCAGACTTGAGAGACAGAGAGGGCCACGGCGCCAGTCTCACGGTTCACCTCCAAGGTTGCCGGGCTAGAAGAAGATACCTTGCCAAAGCAAGCAAACCCTTCCTCACCTTATTACCTTCTCCGTGCCGTCTTCACTCTCCGTCCCTACATTACTCTATACCTTGCCTTGCCTTGCCTTACCTTGCCTCGGACGAGGCACTGGACCATACGGCACCCGTACCGCTCTGCACCACACACCCCCAACGCCCCGGGGAAGCTTGGATCATTCATTCATTGCAACTACCAAATTTGGTCTCTTTTTTCCCAATCCCATCTAACCCCCTTCTCCTCTCTTTCCCTTCCATTCTCATTCACGAACTCCCATCTTCTTCTTCTTCTTCTTGGAGCTTCATCTTCTTCCATTGGCGACGGATCCAGGGCCGCTTCTTGAGTAACATCGGCTACGACCTGCCCGGCAGACGGCTACCCCATCTTTGTTGGACACGGCAGAGCAAACAGCTGTTACTGCCCACGCTGCTACTCAGACCAGATCTCTATCTCCAACAACAAGATCGACGTTGCTGCAGCTTCTGCCTCTACTCCCGTCGCTCGTTTTCGCTTTGCGCCTACGCCGCACCCCCCCTCCGACCATCACCCTCACCCGCATTCACAGCATGTATGGCCGGCGAATGACTCGACACCAGTCAGATTCAAGATCCAGCGTCGCGAACCAGAACAGAGGCATCACTAGCCGTGCCTGGGAACGTGAATGAGAACAACGTTGATCAGCGCATTGATCTACAGATACAGCTGTATTTGTTGTTCTTCCCACTACCAGAA